CGTGGCAGCAGTAGCAGGAGCATGAGCAGGACGAGGATTGTTGAGGATGACGACGAGCTGTCGCCCTATGCAGGCGGAAGCTCGAGCTCGTTCCAATTTTCAAGCAGGGCATCGACTACTTGGCGGGGGGGGGCGCGGCCCTGCCCCTAAGGCGCACTCGTCCTCCCGCGTACCCTCCCTTCGGCGGCGAGCGAGGGGGGGAAGTGAAAAGGAGGAGGCCTTTTCAGAAGCCCTCCTGCCTTCTGGGAGGTTCTCTGTGCCTTAGGGGAAGGCTCTGCAACAACTTCTTCGGGAGGCCGGAGGAGGCCGGAGGACTTCCGAGCCTTCTGGGAAGGCCCGCCCCTCTCTTGCCGCCCCCTGTCCGAAGTCCCCCGTGCGTTGCTCCTCCTCCTCCTCCTCCTCCTCCTCCTCCTCCTCCTCCTCCTCCTCCTCTTCCTCCCCTACCTCCTTCCGTAGCCATTTTGGCTCAAGCCATGCTGACTCAAGCCATTTTGGCTCAAGGCCATATCGGGAACTCAACCCCCCGTCTCAAGTGGCCTGCGCCCGCCGCGCGCGTGGGGTCCTGGAGACTGCCCCTGGACAGGGACCCTTGCATTTTCTTTCTCACTGATACAAGCACTTTGCCACTGTATTCAGTTTACTGCACGCTTCCCGAAGCTCCGCTTACATTGGCGCGATGGCGCTCACGCTTGAGAGTATGAAGGAGTTGCTTGCCGGCCAGCTGCGGACACACGTCGATCCGCTCAACGAGCAGATCACCAACCTAACGACCTCGCTCGCTCGCAACATGGACGCGGTCAAGCGCCTGGACCAGGACTTGAACAAGAGGTTGGACGAACAGCAGCAGGCTATGGCGGAGCAGCGCAGGGAGTTGGAGAGGCAGGCCGCTGCCATCTCTGCGATGCAACTCGGACAGGCCATTGCCATCGACAGCGAGGACGAGCTGATGATCGGGTCCACTCCACCGCGCAGTCGTGCCCCTGTCCCGTCTTCGCCTGTTCTGGATGCGGTGCTCACGGCGCGTGTGTTGCAGCTAGAGGAGAAGCTGGCCTCCACTGTTGCCTCCAGCTCGGCTTCGGCGACCAGCGATCCTTGGTCGTCGTTTTCGCGGCAGCGCGGGCCTGGTGCTGCACAGCCACCTCCTAGTCGTGATGAGGGTCGTGACCACGGGGGGCGTAACAAGAATAATATATGGGTGCGGGGCTTCCCTCGCAAGCTCATGCAGGCGACGTTCAAGTCGCACTTTTCCATAGTGAAGTCGAAGATGCCATCTCAGTACGCTGAGAAATGCCGCGTGCAAGCTCAGAACTACAAGTTCAGTTACAATATCCAGTTCGACGAGGAGGACGACGCGTTGCTCTTCCACTCCAAGTGCCGCGCGGACCCCTCCTTCCTGACTTGGACGGACCCGCGCAATGCTGAGGTGGTACAGCTACGCGTGGGCTGTGATCAGCCACAGCCGATTCGTCATCGCTCGTATGCCCTCGGGCAGTGCTGGCAGATCGTGCTCGACGCCCTGAAGGAGCAGTGCCTTTGGCTCGAGTCCATGAAGTTGGGATCGAACCCGTTCACTGGCCACCTTCATCTGTACAGCTCGGCCAATGAGGAGGTTTGGGACTTGGTGAAGATCACGGAGCACGAGTCCAGCCAGGGCACGTTCACCGTTGTGCCGCTCGAGGACTGCCACGTCATCGGGCTTTCGAAGGAGTTAGTTCATCGACAGTATCTCGGAGCGGGTGACCGCGATGGTGGCCAAGCGCCGCTAGGAGATCGTCTTGCGCGACATGGAGGGCAACGTCGGGAACACGACTAGCGTCTTCGCGACTGGACGACGAGCTGCATGTGCAGCAGGTGGGTGTCGCGCAGTGAAGCGCAGGCGCCGTGTGCCGCCTATGCCGCCGTCTTCCCCTTCCTCTTCCTCGTCCTCGTCGTCCTCCTCCTCCTCTGTGGGTTTTGAGCGGCTGGAGGCTGTGCATCCCATTCCTGATGCCCCCTTAATTCGTTCCGCTCGTTCGCCTTTTAGAGTTCTGAATTCGTTTGGGGTGGTCTCGTGGAATACGCAAGCTTTGCTGGGTAGAATTTGGGCCAATCATAGGCGTCAGAGTCAGAAGTATAGCAAGTTTCGGTCGCTGTTGGAAAGACTTGACATCGTAAATACGCAGGAGACTCATGGGACGCCCCAAGACCTTAATGCTCTTCGTCGTGATTTCCTTTCCCATATCCACCTAGGCTCCTTCTGTAGCTCGCATTCGGCTGGCGGAGTTATTACTTCCATCTCGAAGGCTTTCTTGAAGAATTTCAGGGCTGCTCGGGCCTCAGAGGTCGCTAGAGGCAGGGTCCTGGTTGTGAAGCTCTTCGGGGAGTTCGGGAACCTGAACATAGCCAACGTTCATATCGATCCTGGGATCTCTGTTCGTGCTGCTCATAGTGTTCTAGGACGGCTTCGCCGATCTGTGCCCGCAGCTGGTGGTGGCCTCTCGTGTCTTGCAGGTGATTGGAATTTCCCCGAAGCTGACGAGTGCCGTCAGGCGACGGATGGATCAGTCTCTCTGCCGCGGGAAGATGACCTGCTGCGCTCCCGGTTTGCCGGCCTGTTCGGCGACTTCGTGGAGGTCCGTCAGCATGAGGCCACCCATAGGTCTGTTGCTGGGGATGTCGTGCTAAGTGTTTGTAGATTGGATTGTGTCTACTGATCTGCTCCCACGGCTGAAATCCTGGACTGGAAACCTCGGTCTAACGTGATCGGTCTGGCCCACAACCGCTCGGAGTGCTCGGACCATATCCCGATCTTCGTGCAGACGTCCCCTGGGGCCCCTACGACTCCAACGCTGCCGCGTTGGATTGCCGAACATCCTGACTTCGGGAAGATTGTGGAATCGACCCTTCAGGATAGCGGGGTCAGCCCTGACTCATTCGAGGCCCTGCAGGAGTGCAAGGCCGCCATGTTTGCTGCAAAGGACGAGCTCACTCGCCAGATGTTCCGCTCGGGGGCCCGTACTGGACGTGAAAACATGCTGTTTGTCTCAGGCTCCTCCGCGCTGCCCGCGCAGGTCACCTCGTCATGATTAGCCGCTGCCAACGAGCTCTTCCTGAACTTAGTCGGTTCTATTGTTTTGAGAATTTTGGATTTACTGATTATATGGGATTCCATGAATATACTCGTGAGATGAATGCCACTATGATTAATGATATGATCCATAACGAGTGTACGGACTGCCTTGGGAGGATCGATGAGGCTCGGCGTGCTAGGCTTCAAGCTATCTGTCGGTCGTGGTCGGTCAAACGTCGGGAGCTCGCGGTCTTCTCGGTGGCTGACCCCGTGGACGAGGCACCTGCCAGTATCGAACAGAGTGCTCGTAATCTAGCTAGCTTCTGGGGAGATGTTCATCGGTGTCCTGATGTACTGCCTAAGCCTGAGCCAGGTGTGCTGGCTGCTCTACGAAGTGAAATTCAGTCGGTCTCCCTTGGTATCCAATGGGAATTGATGGAACATGAGTTCCGCTCCATTGTTGTTCATCGTAAAGATTCTGCCGCAGGACCGGGCGGGGTACCATGCAGTGGGTGGAAAAATGGGGGGGGGGGGGGGGGGGGGGCGCTGTTCTGGCGGCCCTGTATGCGGCCTATCGTGCCCTGCTTCGTGGTGAACGCCACCCGTCTGGCTTCAACTGCGGTCAGCTTGTATTCCCTCCCAAGGTTGAGGTTAGTGATTCTGGTCCCAGGACTGTTCTAGAGGCCCGTCAGACTAGGACCCTCACTCTGAGCAACACTGACAACAAGCTCATCTCCTCTGCCCTTGCCGGCCCGTTCCAGACCCAGGCCAGGTACTCGGTCGCGGAGTGCCAGCGCGGGTTCATCAAGAAACGAAATCTGATTGACAACGTGGTTGAGTTGGAGTCCTGGGTCTTGGAGTGGGCCTGCCATCGGGGCCTTGAGTTTCCTGGGTTCATGCTTCTGGATATCGCTTCTGCGTTCCCGAGCGTTTTGCACTCCTGGATCTTCGGGGTCTTGGAAGACATGGGCGTTCCCAGGCACATTGTCCAGGCCGCCAGGTTGCTGCACTCCGACATTTACGTCGACATTTTGTTTGCTGGCTCATGGTTTCCTGGCTTCTTCGTCACGCGCGGCATGAAACAGGGATGTCCACTCTCGGCTTTGATATTCGTGATTATCTTCGACCCTGTTGTCCGAGGTTTACAGGGTCGTCTTCGGCCCCATCCAGGCAGGCCCCTTGCTTGTGCTGATGATGTCGGCATTGCTTCTGGTGATTTGCGTCTTACTATTCCCTTGGTGTTGACATGGATGGGTGACTCTGGTGTTATCGCAGGTCTTAAGCTTCACACGGGCAAATGCTGGGTGGTCATAGCGCGTGACATGGACTTAGAAGCGGCCACTCGGTCGTTGCGGGATCTTGGTATTCCAATTGATGCGGTGCGGGTCGGGACCAACGCCAAATACTTGGGCATATATCTGGGTCCAGACGGATGTGCGGAATCGTGGCGCGCTCCTTGTCGGTAGCTGCTGGAACGTGTCGCTCATATCAGAGAGTTGAGGATCTCCTTGGCTCAGAATATCCGCGCGTATAATATGTTGGCGCAGCCTGTTTTGTCATACATTAGTCAGTTCTACTTGGCCGACAAGAGAGTGTTCGACACTGAGCACACTGCCCTTCGGAGACTGACTGCTGCGCCACGCCATTCGATTTCGACGACCTTGCTTAAGAATTTGAGTTCCTTGGGCTTTGATGCGGTCCCTCGCGATATCTCATGCGAGAACAGAGCCGCCTTGTATCGTGCTGCCTTGCGCAGTTCGATATTCCCGAGTATCGCTGCACGTTTCCACAGTATAGCTGATAATGAATGGGATGTGCTTGTGGTGCCGCGCATGCAGGAGTGGCTGAATGGCTCGGTTACCATGACTTGGATTGTGAACTTCACTCAGCTGACGGCCTTGGCACCACATCTTGCGGACCCTGAAGTCGATGATGTGCAGAAAAAGATGACGAGGATGTTGAAAGCCCGCCTTCCTGGAGTGCCTGTCATACCTTTGCTACGTCGAAGAATCCAGTATTTCTGGCCAGAGGCTCCAACAGGATTTGCTGATCGAATGTTCGTGCTGATCAATAT